GGGGGGGGGGGGGGGGTAAGGTTTGGAACTGTTTCAAAAGGTTTTAATAATTGAAGCCTAGTCGTACCATTTCGTAAAGGTTGATTCAGTTTAATACCGAAACTTTGAAGGGTTGACATAGATGCAATTCAACAGCTTCGAAAAACGATTTCGATTTTGTGTTTGAACAATTTTTTTTATTCACAAGCATCACTACACTTGCTTTCAGTCAACACTTAATTTTCATTAAGTCAACATCACCGAGTAACTAGGAAAGTGAATTGAAATTTTCCAGTAGTGTGCAAGATTAGAGACGAATTAATTGCCAACAGCGAAAGACAATTACTCGACCATTCTCTTTAGAGACCAAAACATTTGTTCGATGTTTCTACAAAGTGAATTGGGACAAAAGTAAAAACTTAAAAACTTTATGATTATTAGCTCACTTTGCATTGGAGTTGATACTTCAAGATAAGGTTGAATATTCCATCCCTTTGGTTCTTTCAATTCTTGGTTTGTGCACATGTAGGTAGGGGTCCTTCTTTTGTCGTTAAAATCCTTGTATATACACATTACACATATAGGTGGGGGCCTATGCTTATCCCTAAGTGGCATCTCACAAAAAAAAAAAAAAAAAGAAAGAAAGAAAGAAAAAAAACCACGAAACCATGTCTTGAAACCGCACTATCAAGTCGAAAATCATCAAGATTAAGGCAATACATAAATGGTATAACTAGTTTTGTACAGAGATCAAAGTAGTACCATTTTTTTTCAATTTAAACAAATTGAACCAACTGGATTCAGGTCATCTAATTATATTACTTTGTACATATCATAATTTTTGAAGAACAAGAACAAAAGAAATAGACCTAATATCTTCTTTAGCCATTTCTTCGTCGACCAATCTCCCGTATTCTTCGAACAAATTGTCCAAAATCGCCTCTCCAAAATGGTGGGAAATCATTGATTCTTGGATGGACCTAACTGTCATGGCCACAGCCTTTCCGTAGCTTGTTGAACTATTACCAGTATCCTTCTCTATCTCAAACATCTCAAATCTGTCCATTTTGAAAGAACCCTCTTTCCTTATTTCATCTTCGAGTTCTTCCTTGGATGGTGCATAAAAATGTACCTCATAAGAATCCAACTTTTCTTCCTCAATTTCCCCCTAGTAAAACACCACAATTGATCAAACAATCGTGTTTAGAACACTAATTTACATCCATGAGATGCTAAATATTCTTTGAACTACCGCTTCTAAAAATTTGAAGAAATTATATACTAGTACATATTTAGCTTGCAAGCGAAAATCGTCTTTTCATCATAGGCTTGATAAGTGCACAATTTTTCATAAATTGGCAAACTAGAATTCGGAGCTTCCTCTTATTTTAAGTATTCCTACTAAGCTTTGGCTTCTCGAACTTTATGTGTTGCCTCTTTAGACTTTTACTTGAGGTTAATTGAGTCTTAGTAACTATAACAAACATTTTTTATTTCTCCTTTATATCGTCTCGGAAGTTACTTGTACTTTTTCTATGGTAAAAATAAATACTCAACTCCGCAAATGGTTTACGAAAAAGGAAAAAAGAGTAACACTTGGCACTTTACCTTACTAACCAGGGTGGCTAAAGATCTGTAGAGAATTTCCCATAAAAATGCAGTGCCTCTATCGACATAATTTGGACCATTTCTTCCCAATAATATCAGCACCATTCGTCCTCCGACAACTACTTCTTCAGACCGTGATTGAAGGAACAATGAGAAGTCCTGTTTGAACTGTTCGAAGTATGCTCGGGCTACTTGTGGCGGGCTGTTTTCAGATATGTATATGCTTTTTCTGTTTATTGTATCTCCCTGCTCATTATATATACCTGGAGGGACCTACAGAAATGATGATTTTTCAGATTATGAGGCTTAAATTATACAATAAATATATTTTGTGGGGATTCGATGCAAAAATGTGTAGCAAAAAGGAACATAAAGACAAGGATTGGCAAACTTTAAATTCTCTCTGTTGATTCAATTAAGAATGTCTGAGAAGAATATTAAAATATAAAATGTGCATTAATCCTAGATTAAATTATAATATACAACACAAACCCCAAAATAAAAAAACTTAACTAAAATAATCCATAGTTTTCAATTAACTAAGAAAATGGCTGCTTGAACCGTTCTAGAATTTTGTGCATGTTTGACATGAAATATTATACTTTATTTGACCCCGCTCTACTAAACGTGGACATGAATTTTTCTCTAATCTATGCTTTGAAATACGTTTCAACTGTGGAAAAAGTGATTTCAGCAACTTAAATAATTTTCTTTATGCTATAAAAAGTTGAATAGGAAAAAAAACTTGAACACCATTTCAATCTTTTTACCAATTTCTTAAATAAGAGTAATGTTATTCATGATCGTCACTGTTCTATTTGGTAGTAGGATCACTACTGCTACATCATCTAATGAAATTTTGATGTATTTTTATTTATTGGACATTTTGATAATAGCCTAACTACCACATAGATGGATAATTCCATTTCTTTATCGGAGAATAAAGGTGTAGATAAGAGTAGAAAAGCGATACTAACCCTGGAAAGCCAGTGCAAACTGTTGGAGGAATATATGAAATGCAAGCACTTGTCTGGAAAAAGTCTCCCATAAAACGTGCCAGGATAACCTGCTATATAAATAGATATTGGACTCCCATGACTTCTTCCTTTCTTAAGCTCCCTATACAAATCTGGTATTGCTTGAAAGATTGTGTTGAAATCATTTGTTGGTAGATCATTCAGATAGACACGAAACTCAGGTGCCCGTTCGAGAAGCTTACGACTTTCCCTTTCGATAGCATTTACAAGTTCTTTTATGTTCGATAAACTATTAGGCCCTGATGAACAACCCAAGTCAGCTATGCCTAAGCTCTTTGGCTTTGATTCCAGAAACATTTCTTCTATGGCCTCTAGGGTTATGTGGTTCACTTTGTCAGCAGCTCTTTTCTGTCAAAAAAAAATCGAGGCCGCGTTTAGCATGTATTAATATTAGACATAATTAAATAGTATATTTGAAGGGCATTCATCAGTGAACAAGATTAAGCAGTACAATAATAGTGATTTCTTTTTCAAGTCCTGTAACATCATCGTCCTATCAATTTTATCAAATATGTCACTGAGGGTTTATCCGGATGGAATATATTAGCAGTATCTTGTATTCTTGTTATCGCTTTTTTTCCTATGAACCGGATAAAAAGAAAAGAAAAGAAAAGAAAAGTGTGTGTGTGTGTGTGTGTGTGAGAGAGAGAGACCTGAAGTGAAGAGTTTTTGGAATAGCTTGTCTCGCCTCGCCCGCCCTTCATGTGGAAGACTTTCTCAAGATCCATGGTGATAAAAAGCTTTTGAGTTTTGAGAAAGCTTTGGTTAGTATTCCTTTATATAGATAAGTTTGAAGATGCCATTATTTCAGTGAAGGTTTTTCTAGAAAAACTTTAGGTGTGTAGACAACAATTCTTTTTTTCTTTGAAAGCAACCAAGGCTAATTATTATAATATTCGCCAATTGACCACACCGAAAATGAGTTTTGGAGACCCCCTATCCATTTCGTGTGAGTAAAAATCAAAACAGTGTTTCTAGCAAGAGTATGGACGACACAATTATCACACGCCTAACCAAACTACATTTTAAAGCAGAAACAGACGAATCTATATTAGAAATACATACCGGCAATCCAACTTTTGGGCATGGATGACAGGAGCCTGGACAACCTTAACGGCATCCACACACTTCGACGGAGAGATCCAACTCGTGAGCTCAAGCAAATCTTAAACCTTCCAAGATTGCATAACATCCAATTATTGACAATACAATACTTTATTTTCTTTAATAGTTTTAACTTTTAATACAAATCCTTTCCAATTGAATTGCTTTGTGTCATGAACCTCAGAGGAAATTGAAAACATACAATATCTAAAAGTAAGTTTTGACACTTAACAAGTATTTGAACAATGAAAAAATGGTAAAGCGTAATATTCTGAGTGTGTTGGAATTTGCAACATGCATAATTATAAACTATGGGTCAAGAATTTTTACTTGAAATGATGAATTTCAAGATATTTTGAATGGTTACCCCACTTTCCAAAATTTCGAATCTCTAATTTTCTTGCACTCTAATGGTCCCAATCCCTATCATAATGGAAGGGAATTATTAGTCATAATCTAAGTGCCATATTTTGTGAGTTTTAATGCGAAAATAGTAATTTTAGGGCCTTTTCAATTCTGATGTATTTTCACATCCGAATTTCACCATTCTCTTACCATCTCTTCTCTTTCTTTTCTATGTAATAACTATTCCCTCTAATCTTTTTATGTCTCGTTGATCGAGTCACCCCACAGGAGCGACTTATATGCAAGATTTTTTGACTATTTCTTCTTCTTCTTCTTCTTATTATTATTTTTGTAGTTACTCTATCATTCTCTTTATAACTCATAAAGAAAATTGTACAAATTCTCGTGCATTACAATATTTCTTTGAATTAGTCTTTAATTAACTATAATCTAAAAAAAAAAAAAAAAAAAAAAGAAGATGATGATGAAATACATTAGTTAAATAAGATGCCGCAAGTAAATCTTTAACGACTAAACTTGGTTTCAAGTGAAGAATGATGTTGCTTCTATCAGGTTGATTGTAAGGTAGCTTAGTGTAACGACTCATGTAGGGCTAGACATGCCATCAACTATAACAAATTGAGAGACGAGTCACATGTTAATTTGAATTAATCTTTAGTTAACTATAATCTGAAATAACTTAAAACAAGATAAAATGCATTCATTAAATAAGATGCTGCAAGTAAATCTTTAATGACTTAAGTTTGATTTTAGGTGAAGTTTTACGTCGCTAGTACCAGGTTGGTTCTAAGATAATGTAAGTTGTATGTAATGTTGACATGGCTTACATTGGGCTTGACATGCCATCAACTTTAACATTTCACAAAAAAAATTACTTTAGAAGAGACGAGTCACGCCATCCCAATCAAATTTACCCTTGTAGTTAAAAGTAAAAAAAATTATGTGGTGTTTAATTAAAGAAGTGTCTCTATTATGTCAACTAGGAGCACTATTGAACTTGAAATTGGTTCCCTCTTCAGTCTTCATTGGCGTGAAATGACCAACTAGATATCACCATCAAACTGTCTACCACTAATTATTGAAAATATTCGAAAAGTTTTTGGCTGAAAACAGTGTTTCTTCTTCATCGAATCAAATTATTAGCTGTTTTCCTCTTTCATATGGATGAAGTACTATTCAGTACATGTAAGGTCTAATAATATGTCGAATAATATCATTCACTTCTTATCACCACACAATCCATATGCTATACGTTAAATTAAATTCAATTTTGAAAAAGACAAAATTTAGTTGAAGAAAAGAAAAAATCAAACAAGAAAATTTTAAAATTAATTATTTATAACTTTATTGGATTATGACAATGGACCACGAGTACATACCACGCATTGATTCCCATTTATATTGAAATAAGATTGATAACTCTCCATTATTTTTATGACTAGTGTTTACAACTATCAAATAACAAATAAACAACATTATATTTATGTAGGATCTGTTACTTGATTGATTCTACCAATCACTTTGATTTAATATATTATTTTTCAGGATTGTGATGTTAGTTCATGCAAGATCTTCTCATCTCATTGGACTATTTTTTAGTTTTAATTTATTGATACCAAAATTTCCTGATTGCTCAAACAATCTCCACTGATTTTAAAATTATTGTGAGGATTCACAACCTTATCATTCCAAGATCTTTTGATCTCCTTATAACTCCTTCTATAATTATCGTCATTTCTATTGCCAAGTTGTATGGTATTACTAAAATCCTCCTACAAATTGTGCTATGAGTGTAACTGAAATTGATCTTTGATTCGTGGAATCCGGGTTTAGCTTATCAATCCAACCGAAATTAAGCACCTCAATTAACAATCCAAGAACCACAACTATTCTCCCACACTTCGGTTGCTATGGTTGCGCCCACAAAGGACACAAAGTAACGGTGTTATTACATCCACAAAGCCACCCACTCAAGCAGAGGTAAAAGGAAGAAGAAAAACCGAACAAAAGAGACAATAGATGAAGCAGCCGATTTCTCTCTTTTTGAGGATGGAATAACACATGCTAACATCACAAAAATAGGGCAACAAATATATAGGGTACATTAGGTATAGAGAGCAAGTCCAAATCAATACATGGTCCAACACTTATAAGCCATCCAACAAGTGGGGATATGGATCACTAGCAGCTCTAACTAAATTAGGCTACCTCCAATGGTCCAAATAGTTCTAGGTTTGAGTCGTTCCATTGAGGTGTCAATATTTCAATTCAGTCATTTGATCGATGCCAATTGAATAATTTCAATTTAACATCATTGTCTGAGATTTATTGGGTATCAAAACCCAACAAATCTCTACCTTGATATCCAATTAACTTGTAAGCAATCAAGACATAAAGTTAACATTTGCATAATCAAAGCAACCAATAAAATTGGGATCACAGACCTTATCTCGTGTTTCAAACCCTAAACACATACCATACATGCTCCATGTACTCACCGGGGTTAAGTTCAAATAACACTTAATTAGAAGTAGATAATAAAGATAAACACTCAAGAAAAAATAATCATGCGATGAAGATATAATATAAGATAATCCACAGATCTTTCCAAAAATACGTTCACACAGAACAACAGATTAATACTAAGTTAATCAAGCACACGGCCAACATATATGCAACAAATGCATAAATGACCCCACGAAAAAAATCTCACCACACTTATCATATCTCATTACATATTGTTCACACCTCAAGAACGCATATCTCCTCCCATCGCCCACCATACTCACTAGACTGATCACTCAACTCATGTCTAATTAGTAAATCTCTATAGATTCTAAGTCCTCGGGATAATCATTTATCACCACATCACCTCTCCCAACCTAAGTGAACAACGGGGAGACCTTACAGAAGTGATATAAGTACATCTATCACACTCCACCTGATCAGGGTCTCTGATAGATAAAGGATTCCAACATTTAATGACCTCTCTACTCGTGATCTAAATATCACACTTCACATCCCTGTTACAAACCACCAATGTACCCTTAGGCATATATACTCCAGATCACCAATAGACACTCAACACACCTACATTAATGCATCACAACCTACTATGCATGCAAGGAATTATACCAAGTAATTAAATTTCTCTCAAATTTATGAAAATGCACATATCAAACACATTGAAAAGTAACATATAACTATACAACGGAATTAAGCAATCACACACATGCAAAAAGGATTACACACGGATGCACATGCAGTAATTAGATTTACTCTCAATAAACCTCACTAGGGTCATCACTCGACCTTATAATCACATTCGCTTCGTCTCTCATCTTACTCTTCTGCTTATCTTTTTTCTTGGGACAATCCCTAATAAAATGTCCAGCATCACCACAACTGTAACACCGTCTATCACTAGACTTGTCTCATCTCTTGCCGCCCTTCTTACCACCCTCATCACTCGAGTCACTACTCGAATCACTATTGTCTTGAGTTCTACTCAAATTCATTTGTTTAAACTTCATTCTACTCGAGTCACTACTCGAATCACTATTTTCTTTTTTTCTCTTTTTCAGCCATAATCTCTATCTCTTTACTTTTAAGGGAATCTATGACAATGTTGGGTGTTAAAGTGTTTCTACCATAATTGCATTCTTAACATCTCTATATGAATCAGGCATAGAACTAAGCAAAATAATGGCCGTTTCAGAAACTTTTTCATCACAATTAACGATATCTTGAACAATGTTGTTGAAAATATTCAGATAGTCATCAAGATCCTTTGAATGATCCATTTTAAAACTGAAAAATCTTTCAAACAAATACAACTTATTGGGAATAGATTTAAGCAAATATAAGTCCTCAAAATTTTGCCAAAGTTCTTTTGTAGAATCAAGTTTTTCAACTTTTTTCAAAACAACGTTAGATAGGTGTAAAATAATTGAAGTATAAGCAAGTTCACCATATTCCTCTTTTTGTGCTTGATTATCCTTTGTGTATGACTTTTGAAACTTTTTATTGAACCAAAATCTCCTTCATCTTTTGTTACCAAATTGAAAAATCGCATTTTCAATTGAAAATTTCAATTTCGAAATGTAAAGACATTTTGAAAAAACAGAATAATCAAAGTGTACAAATAGATCACACAAAGTAAACCTAAGACCGCAATATACACCATTCTAGATTCCCACGATTTCGTGAAATTCAAGATCTTAGGGTCTGTTTGATTTGTCCAACTTTCCATGGAATTGGAAATGGAATTCCATCTTTGTCCAAAAATGAGTATTTGATTGGCTGGATTTTTTAGGCAATGGATTTTCTTGCTATTGTCCACACGCACACCAATTCAATGTTTTTTTGGAATTTGGGTTCCCACCAATTTGGTGGGAATTTATTTTCCAAATTTTTTTAAAATTTTTTTTTAGCAATGAAACCAAATTTTATAACCAATTGTAAAAAAAAATTCACTTTAATGGTCAATTTTCATGTAAAACAAAGTCAAACGGACACTAAACTTTGATTAAAAAATAATTTTTTAGGTTTTTTTTTTTTTTTTTGTTACTTTTTGGTAATGGAAACAAATTTTATAACCAATTGTGAAAAAAAATCATCACTTTAATGGATAATTTTCATGTAAAATAAAGTCAAACGAACACTAAAATATCCAAAGTTTTAAAATTTTTCGGGTGGAAAATTATATCAATCAAACACACTTAATTAACAATTCCCTGGAAAACAAGTTTTAGGCAATTATTTTCTCTTGAATTCATTTTTTTCCATCCATTTTCCACCCTTACAATCAAATGGACCCATATTATCAAGAGAATCTTCAAATGGGTCAAGTCTAGGTGTTCAAATAGAATAATCAATACAATACAAAGATATGTCAACAAAAAATTCAAATCTTCATGTAATGTAGTCTCACACAGTGACTAAATCACAGTTAAAGCCCAAAACAATCACCAACTTGCGATCAAAATCAACACTTCAAATAGAGCAAATAATTTCTAAATTTCGAGCACAAGCAATGTTACCCCACATGGTAACCTCAATCATAATATCACCCCACACGATAACGTGCTAATGTTGAAATTTAAATTGGGATAAGCCAATATACGACCAACCTGAGTTCGTAAATATCGATAGATGTGAATTTATCACATTAGGGCCACCACTATTTGCCCTAAAGTATCCAACAATTGCAGCAACCAATTAAGCAAAAGTCAAATCTCGATTGTGTAAGGGTGAAATCATCCAAATTTCACTATATAACCAAAAACAGAAAACTAACAATATCAAATCTTTAGAAATCACGTTAGAAAAATTATGCCTGAAAAAATCGTCGCCTGAAATTTCCCACGCGTTGTCACGTGCCTTTGCCGGAGTCCCATGCGCCGGCCAACACACGCAGTCGACCTAGGAGTGCCTCCACTTGGATATCAAGGTTTTAGCCTCAGTTTCCTCAACCGCCATCTGGTTTGCCTGAAATTCAAGCAAACATATCCGGTAGCTTGAAGAATAAAAATGGCAGTTTTCACTTCCACTTTTTTGCTTCGTTTCGGGTAGTTTCCAGTTGGATTTTCATTGAAAATCATAGATTTCTCACCCACAACAAGCACTGATACCAATTCTACTGAAATTGATCTTTGATTCTTGGAATTCGGACTCAATTTATCAATCCAATTGAAATTGACCACCTCAATTAACGACCCAAGAACTACAACTATTTTCCCACAGTTCGGTTGCTATGGTTGCGCTCACAAAGGACACAAAGTGTCGATGTTATTAAAGCCACAAAGGTACCCACTCAAGCAGCTGAAAAGGCAAAATGAAGAAGAAAAATCGAATGAAAGAGATAATGGAAGAAGCAACTGATTTCTCTCTTTTTGAGGAAGGAATAACACACGCGAACATCACAAAAATGGGGCAGCAAATATATAGAGTACATTAGATATAGAGAGCAAGTCCAAATCAATACATGGGCCAACACTAATAAGCCATCCAACAAGTGGGAAAATGGGCTACGAACAGTTCTAACTAAATTAGGCTACCTCCAATAGTCCAAATGGTTCTAGTTTTGGGTCGTTACATTGAGGTGTCAATATTTCAATCCAGTCATTTGATCGATGCCAATTGAATAATTTCGATTTAACATCATTTTTCAGAATTTATTGGGTATCAAAACCCAACAAGGAGCTTGAGACTGAAGGCACATTTTAGTTCAAAACATTTGAGAGCCGCTATGTGTTAGGTATTCAATTTAATTGCCAAATCTGTGAACAAAATAGACTTATATTGATATGTTTTTAAAGTCAATGAGTAATGTGCAAATAGTAAAAAGTTGTGTTATATTAGGTTTAGGGTTCGATAATGCAAAAGAAGGAAAAAGGGCGTCGAAATATCGCTAGCTTATCGCCAAAGTTTTGGCTCAAGCGTCAGAAACAGAAACTTCGTCGCCCACCTGTCGTCCCGCCTTCGCTCGAGCGACAACTCGAGCGACAACCTGTCCCTCGACTGTCGCTCACCCTTCGTTCGAGCAACAGTGCTATCTAGGAATTTGTTAATTCATTTTTTTAAGATTTTTTGTCCGGCCCATCCATTCCTTAACCTAACCTATAAATACCAAACGTCACGAAACGTTTTTTCTAAGGCTGATTATTAAGCAAACACTTAGCTTTTCATGTTCTTTTCATCAATTACCCTCAACCTTTGTTATTCACATAGTGATATGTTTTGGTGGTGAGAAGAACATCAGATTCATAATCCAAATACCAAACTGCTACTTCCTTCATATCTAATATCTATCAGAGTTTCTAAAGATCAATGGAAGGTGACTAGTGTTCTAGTCGTTGAAGAACGCGGTGTTCTTCCTACATTCATAGGAGATTGATGATTTCATAAAGTTAGGAGTTGCTGCAGGAGAGCGGAATCCAGGAGAGCTTTGAAAACTGTAGTTGGGAGTTGGTGTAGGAGCACTGAATCCAGGAGAGCTGTTGGGATTATAGTCAGGAGATCAGATAGTACGTGTCGTCGTCTAGTGGTAGACTGTAGTTACAAATTNTTGTTGACTGACAAAGTGCCCGGAGTTTTTACCCAATTGGATTTCTTCGTGATCAATTCTTTTTTTCGTTTATTGCTTATTTAACTACCGTATTTCAATATAGGAATAACTGAATTGCACGATTAACCATCTAGAAAATAATTAATAGTGGCTTGTTGCTATTTAATTGTAAAGTAATCATAATTCCTCATAATCACATATTCACCCCTCTCTAGGTGTTGTTAGGGTCGAACTACGTATTTTCAATTGATATCAGAGTCTTAATTCGATTCCTGACCCTTAATAAATTCTAGACGAGTCAGTCATTGTTTGTGCTTCCCTTTTTTGACGGAAACAACTATGCTTATTGGAAAGTTCGAATGAGAGCATTCCTTAAAGTTTTGAATGAATGTATTTAGATTAGTGCTCAAACTAGGTGGACTCCACCTTCAACAACTGTTGCTAGTGTAGTTACACATACTGATATTTCATTATAAACTAAAGATGACCTAACTGAGTATAACTGGAATAGTAAAGGCATTCATGCCCTGTTCATGGCTGTGTCTGCAGAAGAGTTTATGAGAGTTTCGGTGTGTGAGACTGCTAAAGAAGTTTGGGACATCTTAGAAACCACACACGAGGGAACTAAAACTGTTAAAAATTCTAAACTGCAGATGTTAACCTCTAAGTTTGAAGAAATTAGAATGATGGACGATGAATCGTTCGATGAATTCTATGCGAAGTGGAATGACTTAGTCAATTCGAGTTTTAACCTAGGTGAGAAGATTCTTGAGTCAAAGATAGTTTGAAAAGTTCTTAGATCCCTACCTAAAATGTTTAGACCTAAAGTCACCTCGATTGAAGAAAGTAAGGACTTAGTTGCAGTTAAGATAGAAGAACTCGTAAGATCCATTCAAACCTATGAACTCACCGTCTCTCAAACTAAAAATGTGAAATCCATAGCCATGAATACTTTTAAAGAAGAAGAGAGTGAGTCAATTGATGCTAAGACACTTTTGGACGACGAAATAGCTTATTTCGTTAAAAAATTTCAAAAGGTGATGAGGAATAGGAGAAAGCCTCAAGAGTGGAAAAATGAAGTCCATAATAAATTCTCAAAAGATAGACGTGTGAAAAATAACTCTAGGACTCCCATTATGAAAAATCAATCTGTTAGATGCCATAAGTGTCAGAGTTACGGTCGTTATAGGAATTAATGTCCTAACTTGAAAAGGAGTTCAAATAAAGAAAGACATAAGACTATAGTAGTGATCTTGAGTGATGATAAATCAGATTCGAGTGCTTAGAGTGATACATCTGGTGGTGGGGGTAAACAAAATTTCATGGCCTTCACATCAATAGCTACGATTGAATCTGATAAGGAGATTAATAAGGTTAAAAGTGATGAAGATAGTGAAAAATCTGAGGATGAACCTGATATTCACAAATCTTATCGTGAACTATTTGATGAGAGTCTTAAGATTAAAAATTTCAATAAAGTTGTACTGAAAATGGTTGACGAACCTGAGAGAGAGAGAGAAACTCATAGGTGACCTTCAGGACTCTATCAAAAATCTGAATGAGTTGAAACTTGTTAATGAAAACTTAGAAGCCAAAGTTAAATCCTTAACAAGTGATTTTGAAAAATCTAATGCTCAACTTCATTCGTTTATGAGTGGTATGCAAAAACTCGACAATCTGTTAGGGATGAACAAGCCTGCTGAAAATAGGCATGGTCTGGGTTACGTTCAAAATGGTGATACTACTGTTAATCCTAAGCCCAATGACACAAATTTCTTTGGATCAAGACCTACTAGACAACGTATGGTCAATCATCATATTTATCGGCAACAACCACCGAGTATGTTTGAATCTAGGTTTATTCCCATATGTCACCATTGTGACGTACTGGGACACACAAGACTTATGTGTCGTAAACTCGTGACTGGAAGTAAAAGTCAGGATTTCTCTAGCAAGGTTAACTTTCTCGCTAATCAGGTTAGCCACTTAATTGAGATAATGACTCGATTGACTAAAATCACTTCTACTTCTAAGAAGGTTTGGGTAAAGAAGAGTGACTTCTCTAGGTCTGAAGATCAACTGAATTGCTATGTTGCTCACGTTACGCTTAAAGCTCAAAATAACTATATGTGGTATCTTGATAGAGCGTGTTCAAGACATATGTGTGGTTACTGAATTGCTATGTTGCTCACGTTACACTTAAAGCTCAAAATAAATATATATGGTATCTTCATAGTGCGTGTTCAAGACATATGTGTGGTGACAAAGCCTTGTTCTCGTCTCTCGATGATTGGAATGACGGTGTGGTTACCTTTTGGGACGGAGCTACTACACCTATTCTAGGAAAAGGTGTGGCTAATATATCTGACCTGCTATCTTAGATGTGCTATATGTGAAAAGGTTAAAGTCCAACTTGTTAAGCATTAGTCAAATATGCGATGCTAATTTCGAAGTTAGTTTTGTCCAGAAAAGATATATCGTGTATGATTCTACTGGTAACATTGTCCTCGAAGGTGTAAGAACTTCAGATAATTGTTATGGAGTTCTTCTTAATTCCAACGACGTATACAGTAGTTTCAAGATTAATGTTACTGAACTGTGACATCAACGGTTTGGTCATATGAACCTAAAAGTTTGCCTAAACTCGCTAAGAAGAAACCTGTAAATGGCTTACCTAAACTTGAAAATATTGATATCACTGTACGTGGTCCGTGTCAACATGGTAAACAGCTTAGAGTTCCTCATAAACAAACCTCTAAGATCTTGACAAGCAAGGGACTTGAATTACTCCATATTGACTTAATGGCACCATATAGGACCGAAAGTCTTGGTGGTAAACGATATGATTTGGTTGTGGTTGACGATTTTTCTCGATATACATGGATTCAGTTGTTGAGAGATAAAGCTAAGGTATTCGGTCTTATCATCTCATTGTGCAAGNGAATGAGAAAGACTTTACCATATCATGAATTCGTAATGATCATGGAAAAGAGTTTGAAAACTCTAATCTTGAGAACTTATGCCTGGAGGAGGGAATCCAACATAAGTTCTCCTCGTCGATCACTCTACAACAAAATAGGGTGGTTGAGAGGAAAAATCGTGTGCTTCAAGAAATGGCTAGAGTCATGCTTCATGGTAAGGGACTAACTATGCATTTCTGGGTGAAGCCATCAACATTGCATGTCACATAGTAAACAAGGTTTATCTTAGACATAAACTTGATAGAACACTTTAGGAGATCTGGAAAGATAAACGGCCTACTGTCAATACTTTCATGTGTTTGGTAGCAAATGCTACATTATGAGAGATAGAGAAAATTTGGAAAAATTTGATTCCAAAAGTGATGAGCGAATTTTTCTAGGATACTCCAGAAATAGTCGAGTATATCGGGGTATACAATACTCATGCACGAGTTGTGATGGAATCCATCAATGTAGTGGTGGATGATGTCCGTAGTGAGGGAAAGATTGGAGAAGATTGTGTAGATCTGGAACACTTGAGTGTTGGTCCCGACATAGTAACTAAATCTAGAGAAACTTTAGTTCCTGATCCCTCATACACAACTACCGGTTTAGATACTCCTAATATGGAGTCCACACCTGATGATAAATCTAAATGTCCTAAAGAACCTTCGTCCAGAGTTAAGACGAACCATCCTAAAGTTAATATTATTGGAGATATAGAAGAAGGGACGCGACTTCGAAAGAGGGTATTAGACAACTTCACATATGCTAGCTATGTGTCTCAAATTGAGCCTACAAAGGTCGAAGAAGCTCTTAGAGATGAATGGTTGGTTAACGCGAAGCATGAAGAGCTAAATCAGTTTGTGAGAAACAAAGTTTGAGATTTAGTTCCTTAGTCCAATGATTGTAATGTTATAGGTACTAAGTGGATATTTAAGAACAAAATCGATGATCAATGTACTATAACTAGAAATAAGGCTAGGTTAGTAGCCCAATGATATACTCAGGTTGAAGGTGTAGATTGATAAAACATTTACCCCGGTATTAAGACTTGAATCCATTAGAATTCTCATAGCCGTTTCCTGCACTTTAGGATACTTCAGGAAAAAACCTATGTTGAATGCATGAAGTAAAAATTTGAGATGAATATGATTGGAGAATTAAATTACTTTCTAGGTCTCCAGGTTAAACAAACTGATGATGGGTTGTTCATACACAGTTAAAGTATGCAAAAAATATTGTCAAACATTTTGGATTAGACAACAAGCAACACACTAGGACCTCCCATGAGCACCAGTGTGAAGTTAGGTTATGATCCTACTGGTAAAAGTGTTGATCAGACATTGTACAGAAGTATGATATGTAGTTTACTTTATCTCACTGCTAGTAGACCCGACATAGCATTTAGTGTAGGGGTTTGTGCACGTTTTCAGGCTGATCCCAAGGAACTCCACCTGAGTGCCGTGCGGCATATCGTTAGATATGTAAATGGTACAGTTGATTATGAGATCCTGTACTCTCAGGATTCTACTCTTGATCTTGCTGGCTATTTCGATGTTGATTGGGCTGAAAATGCTGATGATAGAAAAAATACTTTTGGATGATGCTTTTATGTTGTTGCTAACCTTGTCACTTGGATGAGCAAGAAACAAAACTCTATCTCATTGTCAATGGCAGAGGCCGAATATATAGCAACAAAAAGTTGCTACACACAACTGCTTTGGGTGAAGCAGATGTTGAGTGGTTATGGTATTAAACAGGGACTATGACTGTATTTTGTGATAACACTATTGCCATTAATATTTCCATAAATCCCGTTCAACACTCTCGAACCAAACATATTGATATATGTTATCATTTTATTTGAGAGATTGTATAGAACAGTGTTGTAACACTTGATCACGTCTCTACAGAAAATCAATTAGCTGACCTATTTACAAAGCCATTGGATGGTGTGAGATTTGAATTTCTTCGTACGGCTATTGGTGTTTGTGTACCTTATTAATTTTTATGCATGCTCATTCTTTATCATTTCATGCCTTATGTTTATGTATGTCTCATAATTTTCTTACTTTATTTTGTGTGTGCTGTCATCTTTTTGTGTGTCATACTTTCTGTTTTGAATTGAAAAACAACAAAAACAATACAAAACTTTTGAAAACTTTTTCAAATATGGATGTTGCTTTTACAGCTTAACGTATGATATACTTGAATCTGTTTGTTGTGATCATTTTCATTTCTAGCTTGGGTTTTTCATGGAGTTCTTAGTATAGGAGTCTTCATGTACCATCTATACTTCACACACTATGATGTTGTTACTGGAACTCTACCACGTGTGTGAGATTTTGGATGGCCATCACATGTTTATAAGATGACTTTGAACCTGAATTGACCATATGTATTAGACCTAAACTCAAGTTTATCCCTAATATTATCAAAAATAAAAAAAATAATACAAAGATCGCAATATCTTATGTTTTTCTTCGGAACCTATTTGGTTCGAGCAATTAAGCCTGCAGGATTACTTAAAACCTGGTGCATATGGTCAACTGACTTGGGTTAACAGGCTTAAAGCTCGCTACATGGGTCATTTTAGTCGTTTAATGAAGAAAAATCTGCACTTAAGATGAGAAATATTATAATGAGATTTTTTATTGCATGATGTGAAATAAAATATTCTTCTCATACTCATGGGGAGAAAGAGTACTTTCATTCATTATGAGTTTTCTGTTATATGTTCTATTATTCTTTACATGGTTTGATTTTCATAAGTATGAGAATAAACTTATTGACAGTGATGTTTAGCGTGTTATTTCTCACAAATTTAAGGTTTGGAATCCTATTTTCAAAGGATTAGTGACACTTTACACATATGGGTCGATCATACAATTTACTCCATAATAACCTAAACTACGTATATGGGAAGGTTTACTATTCAATGCTTATCTTTATGCATATTCATAACAGTATTTTTGAGTTATTCTGTGTTAATTAGGGATGGGCATGGGTTGGGTTGTGTTGGTTTTTGCATCAACCCAAATACAACCCAACGTGATCGGTTTGATCATAATTTAATCCAACACAACCCATGTAAATGTTGAAACTCAACCCAACACAATCAAGTATCGGTCGAGTTGGGTTTGGTTGATCGATTTGGGACAACTTGTCAACAAAGACTAAAGTAGGCGGGTCGGGTTGGATGAATTTATAATTGACTCATGACTTATATAATATTAGATCTCTATAATTGCAATGAACAAAAAATCTGAATTATTTTGACATTTCATGTCCGGAAATGTTACATGGACAGATTGATATTAAATTATATGAAGCGAAGAAATGTTTTTGACAATTAAAATATTTTTGTGTTGAATGTGTATTTGGTTACTGTTTTTCGTAAAATGCATTCTATCCAAGTTTTATAATATTAGTCTAAGAGTTTACAAGCAACATCACAACACTTGTAAAATTCATAAATATAGTCGAGTTGGGTTGAGCGGGTTTATTCGGTTTTTATGAGTTAACACATAACTCAACTCAACCCGCCTACACAACCAACCACCAAACCCGTGTAAAAACAACAAAAAAATCAATCCAAACCGGTCGGGTTGGTTTGGATTGGACTGATTTGACGGGTTCGGTAGGGTTTTGCCCACCTCTAGTGTTAATGCTAAAATATTATAATCCAAATGGAGGGTGCAAAGCATTTTTGTGTGATGTTCTTTGGCTATACATTATTCCCTCGTCATTTTGTGACAAAAAGGAGGAGTAGATGTATATGATATTTTGAAGTAGATATTTTCGATTTACATGATAATTTGATTTGACATGATGTATCTACAAACTTTTGATTAAATGATAAATTTCGGTATTCCTAAATTAAGTTTTGATATTTTGTAGTATCAATGTTTTATTTTGGTATGTTGGGTTGCATTGATATTATATCTTAATTTAGCTCATGATATTACAATGAAAAATGAATTATGAGTTATTAACTGCTTCCTTCATTTTTACACTTAAGTACTATTTGATTAACTGCTTAAATTGGTTTTACATTTAACAATGTTTCACATACATTTTACATTGGGTACTTGAGTTATCTATGGGAAACATGTTTTGATATATGACAAACAGAGTTTGATCAAGATAAGTTTTGGTTGTGTCCATTTGGTCACAGAATGTCAAAATGGAAGCTTGTTAGGTATTTAATGTAATTGGCAAATATGTGAATAAAAGGGACTTAAATTGATATGTTGTAAAAGTCAAAGAGTAATGTGCAAATAGTAGAAAGTTGTGTAATATTAGGTCTAGGGTTTGAGAATGGAAAAGAAGGAAAAATGGCGTCGGAATATCGCTAGCTTATTGCCAAGGTTTGGCTCAAGCGTTAAAAACAGAAACTGTGTCGCACATCGTCGCCTCGCCTTCACTCGAGTGAAAACATATCGCTCGACTATAGCTCACTCTTCGCTCGAGCGACAGTACTATCCAGGAATTTTTTAATTCATTTTTTAAAATGCTTTTTGTCCGGCTTATCTATTCCTTAACCTAACCTATACATACCAAATACCACATAACGTTTTTTCTAAAGTTGATCATTAAACAAACACTTAGCTTTTCATGTTCTTTTCATCAATTACTCTTCAACATTCGTTATTCACATTGTGATCTGTTCTTGGCGGTGAGGAAAACATCATATTCATAATTCAAATACAAAACTGCTGCTTCCTTCATATCTGATATCTGTCAAAGTTTCTGAAGATCAATGGAAGGTGACTGGTGTTCCAGTCGTTGAAGAACATAGTGTTCTTCGTGTATCTACAGGAGATAGACGATTTCATAAAACTAGAAGTTGCTGCAGGAGAGAGCAATCCAGGAGAGTTTTGAAAACTGCAGCTGGGAGTTGGTGCATGAGCACAGAATTCAGGAGAACTGTTGGGATTACAGTCTGGAAATCAGATAGTACATGTCGTCGTCTAGCTGGTAGAATGTAAGTTACAAATCGTTTATAGTGGATTGTTGACTGGCAAAGTGCCTGGAGTTTTTACCCAGTTGGGTTTCCCCGTGATCAATTCTGTGTTATTTATTGCTTTTATTATTGCGGTAATTCAACATAGGAAAATATTAATTGCATGATTAACCATCTAGAAAATAATTAATAGTGACTTGTTGCTATTTAATTGTAAAGTAATTATAATTTCGCATAATCGCCTACTCACCCCATCTAGGTGTTGTTAGGGTCGATCTACGTATTTTCACTATTGACATTGGTATTCTGAAGAAGTCGATGATGATTTTTATCTTTATCCTTGAGAAGATATGTCTCATGTTATCCTAGTATAAATTAACGTTCTTGCTATATGGATTTTTAAATACTTCCCATATTGCATGTGATGTGTCTAAGTCATGACTAGTTCGAGGATTTCTTCATAGAGTGTTTCGATAGTCCACCCACGAAGGAGATGATTAGACTTTCATTAAGTAACGAACTAAATTGATAATTTTGGTATGAAGTTTTTTGTTTATGTGTTGTTTGGATTTGGGGTGATGTATTTGAAGGGGGCATGGTCTTCATTGGTGAGATAACCAACCAATTCTTGGCTTTCTGCAAGAACTAAAGCTTGTTCATGCCATATGAGGTAACTGGTTAGTGTGTTTGAATGTTATGAAGTTGCTTACATTTAGGGATAGTGAGGTCATTGTGGAAGAGAAGAGTTGTGATGTGAGAGTGCT